AGTGTGAAGAATTGCCGTCCCTGTACTAGTGACTCGCTCTCTAACAGGTGCTTTTATGAGCTGAGAAGCGACCTGTTTCCCGTAATCGCGACTTTGATCGGTAAATTCAATGGAATCGTCAGAATCGTGATAGAGAGGTGTTTGGCGGCCATCAAAGCTGACGTAGCTATCCCGAGGACTTGTAGAATAGGCACTCTGGAACTCAGTGTCCGAGTCATCTGTGATGAAGCTGATAGCGGGCGTAAGAGCAGGAGTGGAGGGTGTTGCTGTGTCGGAAGGAGAAAGCGCAGATAGAGATGCCCCAGAGGCAATCTTACGCAGTGGTTGATTGGAACCAGCGACAGTGCCCTCATCAGCACTGCTCTCTACCTGGGGTTCCACCTGCGACATTGTCTGGTCCGCCCGGGGAGAAGCTGCCCGGCGAGGGGTAGCCGAAGAAGATATGGTATCCACTGAGCGACGGGTGATGGTACTGGTTTGCGTTGAGGATGCGGTGTTGCTACGAGTTCTCTTTCGTGCTTTACTAGGAGGGTTGTTTACAAGCCTCGTTCCTTTGGCTGGACGTGCACGAACAGGAACGGCATCAGAATCATTGCTTCGTTCATCCTCCGTGGAACTATGGGCTGCAGCAGATCTGTTCTTCCATTCTTGAACCCGTTCTGAGGCCAGTGCAGTCTCAAGCTGAAATCTCAGTTAGCTCTAGCGTTGCGGAGAACAATTCGAAAGACTTCACCTTCTGCTGGATCTGCAATACTTTCTGTGCGATTCTATCGCTCCTTTCGCTAATACCCTCGTCGACGGCCATCATACCATCTTGCACCAACTCAGCTTGAGTTGCGGAGAAGCGTTTTGTCTTTGGTGACGCTGGTGTCTCGTCCTCTTCCGCAATTGTGTCAGTCTCACGATCACTTTTGCCGTGTACAAGAGTCTCATCACCGTTCTCGTATTGTTCCGCAAGGGTGGATTCGGTCCCGAAACTGCGCAATCTTGATCCACTAGCGACCGAACCGTCCTTGATTGGGTCACTGGCTCTGCGGGAGCGTGAGCCACTGGCGGTAGACCTCGCTACTGACATGCGTGACCCTGGACGAGATGCGAGATCCCCTTCATAGTCAGACTCGTCGACGTCGACAGCCATGGAAGCAAGTGCACGTTCGATCTGGGCCTCGACCTCAGCAACCATCTCCGCACGTTCTTCCTCCATCCTTTCCATGGTCTCGCGCATGCGCTCCAGCTCAACAAGAGCTTCCTTATGCGCAGCCTCTGTATCATGCAACTCTATAAAGCTTTGTAAGTATCGGTGTGGGTGGTTCTCATTCGATGCTTACGTGTCTGCAATTTCGCCTTCTCGGCAGCTGTGAGGTGGACCAAACCACTTAGGCGCTTTGTCTCTCTTTGCTCCTTTCCGATCTTGCTACGCAGCTGGCCAGCCTCGGCACTCAAGCGCTCCGCGTATTGCTCGAACGTGACAAACTTATCCCGCCATAAATCCGCTTCTGTCATGAGGAAGTTGAGACGGCGAGAAAGACGTCCGATCTTTGTCTCAAGGTCATCACGAGCATCAACAAATGCAGTCGCACGCTTGCGAATGGATAACTGAATGTGCTGCTCGGCAGGAGTGAGCTTGGGTATGCGTCGAGCTGCACCAAAAGAGGAGATGCGCTTGAGGAACGAAGGCTTCTTAAACTGGGCCAACGTTATCAGTATACATAAAAAACTACATGCAAAAAACCGACCTTATCCTGCAGCACGCTATCAAATGCTTGGATAATCCGCGTGGAATGCCACCAGTCAGGTGCCTTGATTGTGTCTGCGACAGCAGCAGTTTCACCACCGCGTTTCGCCTGAATCTTGCAGACAGGGCGGAATCGACCCGCAGGGAAAGCTTCTTTGAATTCGCTAAAAATAGCGCCCATATATCCTCGGTCTTCGCATTCAGAACCAAAGAAGGAATAGAACTCACGAAGGAACGCTATGATCGGGATGATAGTGCGGCTCGAATGCAATAAGAAGACGCTGCCTATATTTGTCTCGTTGCTGCTTGGCAGACACTACACCGGGAGGAGGAGATGGACAACTCAGGTAGTTGATGTCTCTGTTTATCCTGAGCTCCTCTCGTACTTGCCAGTCAATGAGATAACTTACAGGTCAACTACGCAGACCTCAGCGCTCGGACGCACGCTGTACCTCGCTTCAGTGGCAAGGCCGAGAATCCATGGTCCGGGGTCGTCGATATAGATCTTAGCATCTCGGGCGTGGACAGAAGGCAGGGCAATCCCAGACCAACCCCGCAACTCGACAAGGTACTTGATCGTGCATACTGCAATCTACGTTGAAAATTCGTCAGTTTTACAATAGGGCGTTCTCCAACATCAAGAACGCACTCCGAGCATGGCAGGATGCCTAGAATAAAATAGAATGCGGCCTGTCGGCGCCAGGGCAATCTGAAATCGGGTCAGCACGGAACAGGTGCCCGTGAGCGTGACGAACCTCGCATATAGTGAGAATGTTATCAATGTTCAGGCACTTGAAACAGGGGCCACATTGTAAAATTGATGTCGACGAGGCCGCGGCCAAAGTCCAAGCCGCCAGGGAAGCGAGCGATAACCTCAAGGTTTGTGTCATCACTTTGTGGGGAAGCAGAGTGCGTCAAGGGGATGGGCGTGGATGAAGCATCGAGCTTGATGAGATCACCAGCGCGTGGAGCGGGATGCGCTAGAATTTTGGAGATCTGCAGGGTGTGTGACTGTACATCTTTAGAGAAACGAGCCCAAGAAAGGGTTAGGTAGTCACGCATAAGATCGTAGATCGGGTGACGCGACACCAGCGCTAAATAAACAAACTAATCAAAATCTTCCACGTGAAGCTCGAAAGATATACGTACTGAGTGCATAGGGGAGCCAAAATACAGTATCACCAGGCAAGAACAGGGTACTCTCACCAGGGCCGTGGCCACCTACGGTACTTGCCACGTCATAATCACTCTCGCTGACAGCACCGGCATCAGTTTCGGCACCCTCGCCGTCGGTCTCACCATCGGTACCCGACCAAGGCCCTTTGAAACCCTTTTTATTCGCTCTCCTGGCTGGATCTCCAGGGGACTGAGAAGACCCTGGAGGGTTTGAAGAGCGCAACGCTCTCAGCCGCGTAGTCACTAGCGATTGTGCACTCTCCTTGCGAGCACGGCCTGCCTCGAGAGTGCGACGAATTGCCGAACTTCTCTCAGCATCAGCGTGACTCCATACGGTCAGACAGACACCGTGGTAAGTAACTGTTGCGCCATTTCCACCTGACGCTTGTTTTTCGAACATGGGAGATGCCGGGGATGCTGGAGGAGGTGGGAGGACGCTGGGCGGACCGAGGTATGCTGATGAAGGACGGGCATTGAGGAATGGGTCATCAGTGTAAGGGAAGGAAAATGTGGGGGTTGCGGAAGAACGATCCGTTCCGGTGAGGACCGATGCGCGAAGTAAACCCACTTCAGAAGGTGCTGGCGCGAGGGGAGTGGAAGGCGCAGGAAGGGTAAACGTAAAAGTATGGATTGTGCTCGCCGGTTGAAGCGTTGACGCGATGATTTCAACTTCACGCGTGAATGAGAGCTATACGAGAAGAGGATCAGCAGCGATAGGAAGCACACGATAAGAACGTGCCTTGAGCGCTTTTGATAACATTTTTCCTACTTCAGCTTTTGACAGAGCACCTGCGCCCTTGAGGATCTCGGTACTCTCCCCCTTGTTTGCTTTCTTCTTTTTCTTGCCCCCACCGGCACCAGGGCTCACAGTGCTACCGAGAACCTCGGGCCTCCACCAACGGGCGACTGCACCCTCTGAGTGAGATAAACCAAGGACGGCATCGGGGTCGGCAAGAGTCCATGTATGAGGACTCTTTGGAAGCCCTGAGACGACATATAGAGAAGTGAGAGGAAGAGTTGGGGCATGTTGTGTTGGGGTTGATGGTGCTGAACGAGTTGATACGATAGAGGTCCGGGTAGAGGCGGGAATAGGCTCCATGGACTTGCGATGAGCAATTCCTAGGATACGAGAAGCCTTATCCGCTGGACGGGGAGAAGATGGAGGTTGAGAATGAGAATCGAGTGGAGCTGATACAGTAATATAGTCGAGCTCGTTAGCGAGAGCGGCGTCTGGGGAAGAAGAAAGAGGAGATGAGGAAAGAAGAATATTAGAATTTCAGTTTGATATACTGAAATGGTTGTAACTTATTACCGGAATGGTTCGTATTCGAGATGTTTACGATTGTGTTGCTCTGAGCCGCGTTAATGCAGGCGCTCGAACTAGACTTGATCGACGTTTTATACGGATTAAAAGAAATATCAGAGCAACGCGACTTGACCATCTTTTCACCGATACCAATTGGCAAGACAGTGATGGGAATTGCTGCTACTGCAGGTGCCTGAACGCTTGGTCGGCGAGGCGGAAGCAAAGACATTTCAAAGAGAATACAGCCAGATGTAAAGAATGGAGAGAGAAACGAATAGCGAAAATTAAAAAAAGAATGGGATGCACACCAAGTGCAAAGTTTCAGATGGAAGTACAAGTCAAAAAAACGAAGCTGAAGCGGGGACTAGTCCAACTTCGCCTCGAGTAGACGTTACTTACGTCTGGCATTTGGCGGTTCACTTTAGAGTTGGTTTTAGGAACTGCGGGACATCTTGTCTTTCTCCTCAACTTAACCTGGTGTTGCGCGTCAACGCCAGTAAATTAGAGATGGTGCAAGCAAGCTGCAGCACACCTGGACGATGTTAACCTGGAGTCAACTGAGGATCGACATACTAGTGGATCTAGATGCCATTCACACACTCATCTTCCTAATTTACGGAAGCTCCTGATGGAAATTCCTATATTGCGTTGTCAAGGAACGCAGTGTTAACCCCATCTCTTCGGAAGAACAGGGTACATTACCTCACTCTAGCCAAGACCGACGCTTTAGTAGTAGTAGCTAGCCCCGCCTAGCCTCGCTTATTTCAAAATCGTTTTGCAGAAAAACATTCCAAATCAGATGTCTATTTTCAAACATCATACAACATATAATTCATAGCGCCAAACCACCTCAGCACCAAGTTTCCAACTGATCTTCAAACAGACTGGTATGCGCCGGACTGGTTGGCAGGCTGTGGTGCTGGAACAGAGCTAACTTTTGACGGAGCACGTGGGGTGTCGTCATCCACCGTCTGGTAGCCATCCCGGCCACCGGAGGTGAAACCCCCAGGCATGGACCAAACTATGACAGCATGAACAATCTGAGGGTAATTACTCTGTAAGGTTAACTTACCCGTAGGACCATGGATATCAGTTCCGAGGCCCGGGAACTGTCCCCCGCGTTGACGCATGGCAACCAAAAAAGCACCAGTGGTTGGTATCTCGATGGGAGTCAATTTAAACGTCGATAATAGTATTTCAATTGCTCACCTTCAACAGTAAAAGGACGACAGTAAGGAACCTAAGGAAGCCACCTTGGTCATTCTTGATCATCCACAGTACGTCATAGAATATCGAAAACGACAACAAGCCCGCAAACTGGCTCTTTGTTGAGATCACCAAGTACTACGATGGGAGTGACGATGCGTACCAAAGTCAGCGACTGTGCCGCGTCGCTGCTCTCCTGTACATACGAACCGAAGAGGAAGATGGGCAAGTTGTATGCTGGGACAGTAAAAGGACTGATTATGAAGGCCAGCGCCTGCGCAGTACGCAATGCGTAATGAGTAATCCTTCTCACCAGAATGACTGAAGGTCTACTTACTGTCTCTGCGAGTAGTAGTTTCCCTGGGTCAAGTGCCTGAATAAAGTCTGCCATCTTTGCTCGTAGTCGTGAATGTTGATGAAAGAGGTTTCAAATAAGGGGACTGCGTGGACTTGCCTTTTTTGTGCTAGTCTAATACACCTTGTTCAATTAGCACTTCTTCGCAAACTGAATTCAACATTTCACTAGTTGCATGTCCCAGCTTGGTCTCAACTAATTTACTAGTAGCAGGCGTTTCGCGCATTTCTTGCGCAACTCAAATTCGCCAGTCGTTCGCTCATGCCACTGCCCCAGCGCAAAATAGTCGAGGAGCTGCTCCGACCTCCTTTTGGTCCATATCGTGACGAAGAAGTGCTCAGTACAGAATGCGAGAGCAAGGCAGGAAAGATACTGGTACTGAAGTCATTTCAGCTGGCTTACAATGACGAGATTATTGGGTACCGTTTATGCCCCTTTGTGCTACGTGTATCTCGCTAAGTCTTATTGACAAGGCTCGATGAATCCGAGCAACCTCTAGGTACCGGAGAGGTAGACACTCGACAATTCCGTTTTCGTGGAATTCTTGGTATACGTTCGCTCGTTTGGCTATCTCAAGTCGGCGTCAAACGAGTGGAGGCAGAGCTCAACCTGCGTGCCAACACGCGTAGTATGTGTGCAGGGGAACGCCCTCCCAATACAATAACGCTTGAAGAGCTATTTAATAGGAAAAATAAATATCTTGGGGGCCCACCCGAAGACGATGAACTCGAGCTCAGGTTGCAAATCCAGGGTTTCAGGAACTTCCCAGCTCTATATATGACATGTGCGTTTGGATGCCTACACGGTACAATTTTGAAGGACTAAGGTCGAAAATATCTAGCCAAGATACTTCCGGATGGATTATTATGGCACTCCAAAGACCGGTGGGTATCATGACATGTGTGATTCTAGACACGTCTTTACTCTCCTTTAGTAATCGCACCTATGAAGTTGCAACAATGGACGTCTACACCTTCCAGCTCTCAGAGAACTTCTTCTGGCGTTACCGGCTCCTTGCTCTCATGACAAAGATCGTTGGAGAGGGACGAACGCCGCTCGAAAAGCGGACTCCTGAGTGGTTTGTATCCCAATACCTCGAACGGTTCGCTCATCCCGCCAGTGATGAGCACGAGCGACTCATCTACGATTCTACCGATTCCGATGTCGATGAAGGCAGGACTCACTTGCCCCGTCACCCAAGGCGAATACACAGGCGCGATATTCTAGGGCTATTTGCTGCCCAGTCGGAATGGTTCGTTACTGATAACGAAGTGAAGCGCAAGCGGATATTTCCTTTCAAACCATGGAACGCATTTAGAAAGGAAGTCAAAAAAGCAAGATGGCAAGCTGCACGTAACAATGTCATATGGGGCTGGCCGATTGGTCGTCAGAATCAGCCGGACCTGGAGTCAGAACCAGACAGCGAAGAGGGAGATGATGAAGATGATGAAGATGACGAGGACACCAGAAATCTGGTGGAGCGGAATCCCGTTATCGGCAAGACAAACGAGATCGTGCGCCGTAAAATCGACAAAGCTAAAACCAGACGAACCCTGTTGTCTACCCGGCGTGACAACGAAGCAGGCTCGTCGTCGTCGTCCTCAGATGAACTCGATCCTGCTAGGGCACATGCGTATATGTCGGATTTCTCTAGGGAATCATCTAGTATTGTTTCTGAATCTTCGGATGAATCCGTGGACGAGCGCCTGCTTGAGTTCGGAGAGCTCATCCCACGCCAGTTGTCCCAAGTCCCGGAATTACCAGGCCCCGATAACCGCTGGTGGTGTCCTGTACCAGAATGCGGGCACATGGTTGATTTGCAACGTCTCACACGAGATGATATAAAAGCCCTCTCAGCAACCACCGTCTTCTATCTCATGGAGAAGAAATGGCGGAGTATTCGAGAAGATGAAAGAGCTAAAAATTGTTTCTTTGAAATGGTGTCTAAGCATTACGAGGATCATTTTACAGACCTTGGTTTAAGGTTTGTTCAGACTAAGGGAAGGGTAAGTAGGTCGAAACCAGTCTTTTACAATCGTTAACAATATTATTTCAGACCGGAATAGATTCGATCAGGGATAAACGGCGTGGTTCGCAGGCGGTAGTCATCGTGAAGGTGGAAGTTATTCAAGAGCCCCTTTGATTCCAGTCCGAGGCCCTATACATATAGACTGTAATATAGGTTGCAGTCTGTTAATAACATCCCACGGACTTATTGTGTACTCAGTAAAGTACTAGCAGCCCAAATGACTTCAAGGAATGACAGGATAATGATGATATAGTCCGTGTGGTATAAACTATCTAGCCCTAGCGTTCCGCCCCAAGAAAATGTCTCTTAGCCACATCCATCGCATTCCCGTTCTGCGTGTTTCACCAGCAGTGCCATCGCCCTCTTCCACGTCCTGCTGCAAGAGTTCGGAGCGAGGATCGCTCAAAACTCCCCCGTCCCGAGCTTCTTCCGAGTGTCTCCCCCGTCCCTCACTCCCCGTCCACCTCCGTCCACCCGCAGTATCAGCCAAAGACATGGTCTCATTGACGACAGCTGCAAAGCCAAGTCCTCCACTGATACGCCTAGAAGTTCTTGTTGAAGGGAGAAGCCCGAATCCAGGGCTGACTGGTGAGAGACCTATTGTCAATCCCGTAGGAGACAATACGCTCGACGATTGCTGCTGATGTAAAGATGAGGCCATAGTACGCATAGATGCAGATGGATCGATAATGGTGGGGTGCTGACGTGATGAGCGGGAGGTGCCTGGTAGGCGTGGGGAGATACCCGTCTGATGGGCTGTAAAGGGAGGTGAAAGCTGTGAAGACGATGCGCTGAGGGTGTGCAAGGAGACGGGACTCTGGGGAAAAACAGTGCCCTCCGACCGCACCCGGCGGTCCATAGGAGGCGCAATTGACCCAGAGAGAGATGAACCCTGGGGACCAACGGCAGTACTTGCATACGAAGGGTAGTGTGGCGAGGGGTTTGTTTCGGGAGTTGCGCTTCCGCTGTTGAGTACTGCTTGGTCTTCAACGTCAGATTCAGTTGCTGTATCACTTTCATCGACGTTGGCTTGGGCACTGACTGCCCAAACCCCAGCAAGAAGAACAAACATGCCGACTATGACGAGGATAAGGTGCCACCCTGGGAGTTGTCCAAGCTGGTCGAAGTAAACCAGGCCATTGATAATCGATGAAAAGTTATAAAAGCAAAAGGCAGCTAGGTAGTCCCCGTGTTAATGGCACTATCAGGAAAAATACAAAGGAATAGGACACACATGGGCAGACAAATGCAGGATCTGCAAGCCTCAGACCACGATTAAGGTACCAAAGTTGTCCCAGAGCAAAAATAATGAGTCCACCAACAAGAATCCATGCCTCCCATCTAAAAAATTGATTGACGCCGCGGAATGTGAGGACAAGAAGTTCAACACCAGACTTTGCGAAAATCAAACAAAGCCCAGACAACGTCCCTGAAGCTGCAGCATATGCGAGGGCAAGAAGAAGTGGGGTTCTGCCAGGAAGTGGTACGCGTAACGGTGATGAGGACTTTGAATTGTGTAGAGTAGATTTGGTAGATGGAAGGCGACCGCATTTTGGATCGAGCAGTGGTGTTGTCTCAGATGCAAAGCTGCCATTGACTTGTTCCTCAGTAGGACCAGTGGATAGATTAGATTGTTGTATGCGTGTGGGAGGTAGCGGTGTGGGAGAATCATGCACGGAGGTGCAAGAAGACGACAGGGGTGAGTCATGGTTGGCCTGCAACAATGAATAGGCTGCGGCTTCCAGTTGTCTCTTGTAAGAATATTCAATACTGTGGGTCTGCAGGAATGCTATATGTACAATCAAAACGATACGTCGCGACTGGCACGCACCACGATAAGGCACACGAGTAGGATGAAACCTTCGGCACAGAACCAGCCTATAAATGCAGGACGCGCGAAAAGTGCCATCAATTCGTCGAGACTACGCGTGGTTTCAGGAACGATCCCATAGATAGCAATCAAGGCAGCGCCACCAGCGATGAGAGCTGTTCCCAGGAGCATTCGTGGGCGAAGGAGGAGATTAGCGAAGAGGGCATTCCAAAGGAGAGAAACGGCGCCCAGGGGTGCCAGTATGACGACCGGAAGAGATGCTATTTGTATGAAAGATCCAAACACATTAGATATCAAAAAGATAGCTGACAGAGGTTGTGTTGGTCGGCGGAACGAATATAAGCAAAATTTGAGTGGGCTCACCGAATCCTATCAACCATAATCTAACAAATGTAAGGGGAGACTGAGTTATAGAAGATATACATGACTCACGGTCGGCGGTGTTCTACTTTCTGGTCTTGTTCTTGAAGCTGTGAGTTGTGAACATGGCTACGACGCTGGATCGCGAGACCAAGGCTTTGGACAAAAGATGCGAGCAGTCCGATAAAAATCCCCAACGGTATGGGTATGTCTTGATTTAAATTTGTGTTTGTAAAGAATGAAGTAGGTGCTGCGGCGACATGGGCTATAGAGGATGTGATGTGCGTACAGCCTGTGAGTATGCCCATCGACGACGGCGAGGAGGGAAGAACTTGTAAGAATCTTCTACTTGTCGTTCAGGTGCCAATTTGGTGTGTACTGGGAGCAGTAGCTAGAAATAGAATAATCTGTGGGCAAGAAATGTAGACGTTGTATGTAGCCGCAGTAACCGAAGAGGCAAGGAGGTATTACACACGTGATCGACACTAAAACGAAAGTCTCATGGACTTGAAAGGATATCCATAACTATTCTATCACGACTTCCTCTGCTTGTTGTATAATAAGGGGATCTGCACAAGCCACTATAGGAGCTCTGAAAATAACATGTTCAAGTGGTGGAGTGCTCTGGCGACTGAGTACAATGATCAAATGTACAAGGAGTTCAATATTCTCGCTGGGAACTTCAGGTGTTACAGTGTGACTCGGGCTATGCTGAGCCGCATTTTGCAGTATTAAGATAGGTTGCAGACCAAGGAAGATACGAGAACCTTGATGGTCTTGGGAGCATGCGATACTTTGTTACAGAAACTTGAAACTAGACTTTCGCCAACTCAGGAGAAAGGCCAGCCTTCTTAAGCCTTTTCGCTTCAAGCTTCTTCGTCCATGTGATCATCTTATCCTCAGCAAATGCTGTTTGGCGCCTTCCATCAATGGTTGTTACATAAGTGAAAGTTCTCGAAGTAAGGCTGGATAGAATACCTTCGCGCAGTAAGTAGTAACTGACCTTCGGTATGGCCTCTATGCTATGCAATTGACATGATGTGTGGCCTGACCGAAGAACCCAGTTTATGATGGCTGCAGACGTCGATGTCATGGCCGTAGTTCCGCAAATGCTAAAGCGTGACTGATACATTACGAACACTATCAGGCACCCACTGTGTCTCGGGGAAACCAATAGTGGACCGACCAGCCTTGGGAGGATCGTAATCCGGCTTAGCCTCGAATGCCTTGGCCAGTAACTTCACTATACGTCCGTCGTTTATGTATGGAGCAACAAGTGCAGCAGCAAGGCGTTGGCATTGTTCCGTTCAACGGCTAGTGGCGAGGTAGCTTGACGTGGGCCGATAAACGGTGCGGAACGGAACGAAACATGTTGGAAATTTCAAGTCCGCTACGCCGCTGCCCTTACTAGTACTGTATGTACACCGCCAACTGCCACTTTGGGCGAAACCGAGCTAGCGCGAAAAGGATTTTAAACGCCTGGCAACCAGGTGGATACGAGTTCAAATACAGACTTGGGCCCATAAATAATAAATTGTTCCTGTAAAGCTTACAGATCTGGTCCTTTTGAGAGCTTTTGTCCTGATCCTGGGCAATACCTTGATTATTGCTATATTGCTGCCCAATTCTGGGCTTGTGTGGACCTCGAAGTCACACATGTCAGACACATCGGAATGAGTCATATGGTGCAGGTCGGGCGGCATACCTGTGGCAGACCTATGACAGAGCTCGTACTGATATCTAAGTGACCTCTGTACGTGACACTCACCATTAATTCCTCTGCACACTTGAATATTGACAGATGGGTGGTTCTTTTAAATCCCTTTAAAGTGTCCTGGTGGTGTGATCAGGTCAATCAAAAGAGTACAACAAGGTATGCATTGCAGATAAGCACTGTACTGTAGTATATACACAAAATATGTATTGATAAGTATCTAACAGACTAAGACTGCAGGAGGAAAAGCATCTTGGAGTCAATCAGAAGCGACGAGAGGATGAGGAAAGAAGAGGGCAGCATGTTTACAAAACTCAGCCCAGATGTCGGGCAATACATTCATAGCACCTCGATCCCCCGTCGTAGCGACATCACCTGACCGTTCTAACCACTGCTTGATGAACGTACCCTCCAAAGGAATTCGGGAATCCCACTTCGGCCACGAGCCCCCTGGGAATGATGGATATGCCGCAATGAAAGCAAGCCAAAATGCATCGCATCCCCATGTCCACAGCTGCATTTGGCAATTCACCTGATCAACGAGCCATGCTTCGATATCCTTCATCAGCGAGGCCCATTTAGCCTGGTCAGCATAGTCAAAGTGTTGAAGGGGCAGGAACGGAATAAGAGTGTCATCCAGGAGCACAGGAAAATCATCGTGGCCATGACTGCAGACTGACTGCGCAATGTAAATTTTCAAAAGAAATTATGAAGACTGTAGACTCACAGCATTGTCTGAGGGCGTCAAATCTCCAGCACTGGAGCAGAGATCCATTGATATGGCTTCCACAACTGGCAAGGCAAAGGTCCCATATTCATCTGCAATAGAGACTGTGATCTGGACAGGCTGTTGCACACCGGTAATCAGAAAACAGTCCTGATGGTGTATAGAGAGAGCTCACGATATTCCTTTCGATAACCTGCCTTGGCAGTCTACCCGAAAAACATATAGTAAGGAGCACAGATCGCAGTGGGCCTGTGCCGACATCCTGGTATTGAATATCTGGATAAACGGTCACAGTATTTGTGAGTAGTCCGGACTCCATTGGCTGAAAGTTTGTTGAATGAAGACGACAATGAGCAAGGACAGCGTCGGACTTGTTGATTTCAACAGTCAAGAGTCACGTGACCAGAGCTTCGCCACGGAAATTATCAAACAAGTGCAGCTTATTGACTCAACATGAATTCAGCTGATCTCGTTGACGGCACTGGTATGCTTTCCCCCTTCATCTCATATATATGTATATACATGCTTATTTGGTGGCACAGTTCTGCAGTTCTGCGATACTACTCAAAAGCGCGTCCTCTGCACAGTGTGCCCTCGGAAAAATGGTATTTATTGTACAATGGAACTGCGACATGTCGAGAAGCACACTCTACAAGGAATCCATACTTGTCACATTAGATACTTCACAGAGCGACATACGAGGATGAGACTTTCGCATTCGGTCCAGGGCAAGAAGGGTGCCAATGTCATTCGCATGGAGTCTGAATCGCCACTAACTGCTGCCGACACCGATATCTCTTTCAATGCTGATGACTCTTTCATGGATATAGACGACACTTCTGATGTGCCACTTGCTGTCACACAGTCTGGTATACCACCACCTGCAGCACCTGTTATGGTGTCAGATGACATGGACTCTGATAAATTGTCAGAGCTCATGAAAAAGATAATCGGCCATCGCACTTTTGAATTCGAAGGAGGATGTCCAGACTTATTTGCTGAACTTCAAGCAACCCTTGCATCGGGTGAATTACCATTCTCGACTCCACTTTCCCGGTCCTCTGACAAGGAGCACGAGCTCTTCGATGACAGTGCTCCCAATTTTGGGGTTGAGCTCCCTGGTGAGTAACATCACCGTTCGTTCTGCAGGGCCATGTGTTCAGTGACATTACCAGATGATATCCACGATAAGGTGAGTGCGAACTTCAATACGGTCTCAATGAATAACCCAACATATCCATGGCCATCAAAAGCGGTATGTTTCTCATTGTATCTGTGTCACAACCTAATACTTACATCCCTGTCAAGCACTTCTTCACATCCCTGCTTTTCAGCTCTCCACGACTCCCATTCTCCGAGACCCAGAAGAAAGCCATACTCAATTGGGCCAGAAGTCTTGGTGCTCAAAATGTCCCCTCACTGGGTTCGATGAAGAAGTGCCACACATACCTGGATAATCTTGTTGGCAATCCGACTCAGCAAGTCACATCTCGTGCTGGCGACATATTTTATATCAACAACATCACAGAAGTGATCGCAAAGGTGCATCTAACACGTCTCTCACACGAGCGCAGTAGTGACATTAAATTTAGGACTACGCAAATCCACTTACTCAGTTTGCAATGAAAGATTACCCCGAGGATGGTGGTGAGGGGATGTTGCAAGTATTCAATGGGAAGAAGATGTTGCTCGATCTTCCGTCACCACCGGCGGTTCGAGTAGATGGAACAATTTACTTCACAGATGAACTACTACAGGATAACTCTGGAGACTACTTTATTCCAGAGCACTTTTTTCATGCCTCGCCTCCTGCAGACTCAGATGGCGATGACACTAAACTCCATGAGCATGCAGATGCAAAGCCCTTATATGCACTTGGTCGGGCAGTTGAACGAACGGAGGTACGTGGTCATCATGCATCTATTATGACATATAATATTCTAACTACTCAAATAACAGGCCGGATTCATCGTTCATGACGAGCAAGAGATCATTCCTACGTCCACATTTGTGTGGTCATTTGAAGACATAGCTGCGACACAGGGTGAACTTGATTGTGGGCTTACAGGTGTGTTATGTGCCCATCTGTATCAGCAATCGCGGGACTCACATGATAACAGCCTCGTCGACCAAATATGCATCACTTTTGCCAAGTCCAATGCGTAAAAAGGCAAATGGTCGCATGGTATATACAGTCCCCCTCATCATATTCATGGACGATGTTTCTGGTAACATATCCAAACAATGGAATAAACATCACGCGATTTATATGTCGAACACAAATTTACCCCATGAGATGCTGGAGAAAGAATTCTTTGTACGCTTTGTTACATCTTCGCCTCATGTTGCTCCCATGGAACTCATGCGGGCAATGAAACAATCAATTTCATTTGTTGGTTTATTGACTCGCTCAAATTGAAGTTCTAACATGACCTATAGCGATGCAGCTACATCTGGTGTCGTCGCATGGGATTGCAAAGATAACGAAGAAGTCTTGCTGATTCCATGCGGGCTTTTCCTTGCTGGGGACAATCCCATGCAGGCAGAGGAGTGCAGCCACGCAGGGCTAAATTGTAATTATTTCTGTCGGACGTGCGACATTGGTGGAACAAAAGAATTCAAGGCATCTGAGGATGGTTATAGTAGCCTGTTCACGGTAAGCATGTATTTGAATCGAACTTTAACACCTGATGATGTGCTTGTAGTCAGGAAATCTGCGAACACCAGAAAGCACTGCAACGAACATCCGACAGCAGTTTGAGACAGCATTGAAGTCTGGTGCGACAGAGAAAATCAAGAATTTGGTGTCGACAATGGGTATTCGTGATACGGCCTCCATCTCTATCATCAACACCCTTGTGGAACTTGAAAAGAAGCTCCGAAAACGTGTGGCTGGTACTCAAGCAATGTCCGAAGCCGATGTCACAGCTGCACTGGAGAAGGAATTCGAGGAACTTCTGTGAGGCAACACAGTCGACGACACCATCAACCCGTTGTTGGGGATGGATGGTTAGTCTCTTTTCACGATGTCGACCCTCTCATTAACACTACTAGCAGGTCTCAATATGCACATGGACACACCAACGGAAATCCTGCATACAGTGCTACTTGGTGTTGTCAAGTACTTCTGGGGACAAACTGTATTTTTACTCGAAAAAGCAAAGCTTATGGACGTTTTTCAGACCCGTCTCCATTCTGTCGATACTGATGGACTGAATGTTCTGTGCCTGGGTGCGGATTACATTTGCCATTATAAAGGTAGCCTGATTGGAAAGCATTTCAAGAGCTTGGCACAAGTGATGCCATTCTTAATTTATGACCTTGTGCCTTCAACTGTTCTCGACACATGGACCATCATCGGAGAACTTGTCGTGCTTGTATGGCACACCAACATATTGAATACGGAAGCTTATCTTGTAAGTTTATATGCAAATATAGATTCTAGGTCTCATGCTGAGTCTTTCAGGCAAAGTTATCTCGAACAATCGAGGATTTCCTTAACGTCATGGCACAATGCTCCCCCAGTATCATTATCAGCAAGCCGAAATTTCACTTTTTGATTCACCTCCCAGCTTACATTCGTCGGTTTGGGCCTGCAATTGTATTTCCAACAGAAAGATATGAGTCATTTAATCATGTTTTCCGTTTGTCATGTATATATAGCAATCGTCAAGCGCCGAGCCATGACAGCTGCAGAACCTTCGCTCACCAAGACATCATCAAGCATGTGGCCACTGGTGGATATTGGTACAACCCCAAGGCAGAAAAATGGGTTCAGGCAGGTCCAGTGGTCATTGGGTACCTGCACGATCACCCAGAGCAAGCCTGACTTCTCGGGTTGTCCCATTTTGTTCAAATCCCCCCAGTACCTGGTATTTAAGCACATTTTACCTTGCTTTATCTTCACTCATATTCCATGTAGGTTCTGGAAAGGCTCTATCGACTGCTGGCGCAAATGGAAAAACAACAAGGACCGATGTCATGGCCTGGAAGAACACTCGTTGTGCAAAGACCTTGAAGACTGCACGGCCTGGCATCATTTGCCATTTTGGAAAATCAGTTGTGCTGAGTGAGGGCGACGTCACTCATTTAGATAGTAATGTTATCTTTTGTCAAGGGGTGAATGGACCGGTAAGCAATTTTGTGACTTTTCATGACTGTTGATTCATGCTACTAGATGGGCATTGGACGGATTCACGAGATCCTCATATCACCGGAGGACCACAAAACAGTGATTCACGTCGCACTACAGCTCTTTACGTTTCTGGATACATTACATGCCTCTGTCCATCTCCCATGTCTGAATCTTACGGATGATGAAGTAGTTGTAATGGCATCAGTGAGTCTTTTTTACAAATGCATGAACCATTCAGACCATTGTCCAACAGGATATCATATGCATCGTCAATCTCCAGCACAACTGTATCAACTCACAATGTACGGACACCCTTGAACAACATGTCCGTCAAGAATGGATTGAAACATCTCGAACAAAACCTACCATTCGCCATAAGTCCACTCCGCACTTTCTTGTCAATGCCTACTCTCTTCATAACTATGCACATATCCACCTTGTCATCCCCGAAACGCTTCGTGAAACGCCACTGAGAGTTACAAATGTGGCGGAAGTTCAGGCCATGGCTGTACAACATATGAAGGAGAAGAAAGCTTCGAAGAAAGCTGGCGACGCACCTCAAGAAGCTGAAAGCACCAAGAATGATGTTCAGGGTTTGTTGATACCGGTTCCAGCCTTCGATAAACCTTCTGCCAAACTGAGGACCACCACAAAATCAAAAGCAAGAGCAAGCAACTCCAGCACACGGGGCAAGAAGGCTGTGCCGTCTTGTCCCCATCAGCTTGAAGCTGTTCACAGGTCACCACCATCCGCTCAGCAAAATTCTGTGGTTCAATCTAATACTGCTGCTTTTGATCAGCATGGCCAGGGCCACTTCACGCCGTCATACCCTCCTCCGCCCCAATACTTCCACTCCTCTTTACCTCATGCACACTATCCGCCACCACAATATGTTCCTCTACCACAACCATACCTTCCTCCACCGCAACCGTATATTCCTCCGTCACAACTGTACCTTCATCCGCTACCAATGCCACTGGCTCCACATCTTTACTCAGGCTATCATCCAAGTGCAGACACACGCCCCATCCATGCACAGTCAGCTCCCACAGCATCAGGTTCAAACATTCGCATGGCACCACATACCCTTCCTGGTGAACCGTGCATCCCAAACCCCTACTTCCTGCCTCCTGGTTCCGCTTAGAGACACGAGGACAATTGAAGAGTTTCCTTGACAGTGCTTTTATCACCAACAGCGGTCATGTAAGCAAGCCTGCCTCAATTACTACACACTAACACTCACAGGTTCAAGCAGGATAGCTTTCAGACCACCGCTCTTGCTGTTCTAAAGCAGAGGTGAACTGCGCATCCCAAAGCCCTACTGTTTCCTCGACAGTGCTTTTGTCACCAACAGCGGTCATGTAAGCAAGCCTGCCTCAATTACTACACACTAACACTCACAGGTTCAAGCAGGATAGCTTTCAGACCACCGCTCTTGCTGTTCTCAAGCAGAGGTGAACCGCGCATCCCAAACCCCTACTGTTTCATCGACAGTGCTTTTATTACCAACAGCAGTCATGTAAGCAAGCCTACCTCGATTACTACACGCTAACACTCACAGGTTCAAGCAGGGTAGCTTTCAGACCACCGCTCTTGCTGTTCTAAAGTAGAACAATTCTGTGTGCTGGACCTCCACACAGATTCCCCACAGTTCTGCTAGTTGAAAAGTTCTTTCAAGAGTGTTTCTGTCATGCTGGTCCACTAGCTGGGCCTTAAGAAGATGCGAGGCTTGGTTACCAATGCTGGTAACTATTAGTTCGAGAACACCACAGTCAAGGTAAGGATGTAGACATGGTTGACGATCACATTTGCATTTTTTTTTTAACTATCATGTACCCATGTTCTTCCACCTTCACACCTTTGATACTAATTGTATACTCAATGCTATTCGATTTGCCTTCTCTGCTGCACTTTGTTTTATCAAGCTTGGTTTGTTAAAGTTTCAATGTGTGCCCCGAATTTACCGAATTTACGTTAAGCGTAAAGTTTAGCGTGATTTGACTTGATTCCGACTTTCCACTTGTTCATTTGTCATTGGCAACCCCAGGTCTTGTGCATTTTCTTAACCTCTAACATCATGATTTCGTGTTTTCCTGTGCGTCCTCGAAGTTCAAAGACTTCAGGTAATTCACAGGCTCAGAGTTCCAGAAATGATGGTCTGTTGGCCCCAGACATCAACTTACTGCGGCCTCGAGGAAGAAGTGTTTCAACTTCCAGCGGAAGTCAACTTGGCAGAACACGAGCCCCTTCTGCATGTGGTCCTCAGGCAATGGGAAACATCGCTCATGCACGCTCACCACTTGGCATGCTTCCAGTTGACAGCACGTTGTTGTCTCACAGCTTGACTGCTGTTGGCAATAGTATGACACATTCTGCTGTTCCACGTTCTCCCTCATCTAGTGATTTGATTGATGAGCCAATTACCGCTGGTATATGTCGCCGAAGGACAGATTCTGCTGCTGACCAGGATGACCCAACAATCCTTACACCCTCACGCACGAAACGGCTCAAAGTGTATGCTAAGACGGTGGCTGAGGAGAACGACATCTCAGAAAAGGGTCTGTATGACTTTATCGATGTGAGTTGCTGTATCGCTTGACAAATCCTCACTTTTTTGAAACACCTCTAGACCGGAGGAATTTATTACATGCTCATTGATCTCAAAGTGTGTATGATGAAGAGTGATACAGGCCGAAAGGCTGCTCTTCTCCATGATTTGAAAGAGTTGCTAAACTCCAAAGATTTCAAAGTATTTTTTTTTGCCGTCTCCACCCACAAATCACCAGGTTAATTGTGCTACGCAGTCCGCACTCCAAAATCACTTGATAGCATGTCTACTGTCGCCAAACATTACCGCATATGTGACGGACACACATCCCCACATCATGGTGACCCCCTTCGAGTTATGGCGACTCATTCACAAGAACTGACACTGCGACAGAATTTCATAAAAGACAACAGTGGTGTATTCAAAGTTCCGCCATCACTGTTCGAGGACGTGGAGCTGACTGCGGTATTGGCAAAAATCATCAGTGAGCTGCTTTCATCGATTCATGGTAACATGAAGAACAAGGTACACAACATGATAGTCAATTTGTCTCAAGAATCGCTAAAATGATTGCTCAGTTGCTCGCATCTATCCGCAAACACATGAGCATTATGGACACGGCAAAATCACTTGCGCATGGTTCCATTGAGGTTGACTCGGCTCATTGGAACAGGCTTGCATTTTTGGTGTGTTTTCATCCTATGATCAGACATTGTGGTTATAATAACCTGCAATAATTAGCGGTGCTGCTTGCGCGTCTTTATGATTGGTATCAGTGACTACAGGACCGTTCCACTCAAGGACCTTTATTCGCCTTTTCTTATTCTGTCTCTCCACACTGCTGTCTGTGCTAGAATTGGACCGAAACTCGGCATCGACATCGACAGCATCGAGCGTGAGATGCTAGGTGAAGAAGAAATTCCGGATGGCCAGGATGAAGGCCAGGAAATGCACAGCACGGGAACTGCTGGCAGTGGAGTCATCGACAATGGTGATTTAGCTGATGGGACAAGAGAGTTGGAGGAGAATTCGGGTGACAATGGCAATGCAGACCAGGATTATGAGCCTGAGGATAACGAGGGGCCTGATACCACCCCATATAGCAGAGCTCTTGCTGAGGACGACTCTGGCTTTGGGGACAATGGCAAGCCCGCCATTTTCACTTCGGGAAAATTTTGGAATTTTGTTGATACCTCACTCGAGAACATTCACAAAGTTGTCAAGCAGGAGGCAGTGAACAATCATCAAGGTACTGTTTTCCAACATACATCAATTGAAAACGTGTTTCGGCAGTAAGTGTTTCATGATTGAAACTTATATATCATTGCTCATTATTGCCAAGAATACTCGTAGAATATTTCCAGGAGGACCTTGCTGATTTCCCCGGTAACATGGCCGTTCCTAAGCTCCTCACAAACAACAGTCCCCAGTGGCAGACCACGATTCAGAACAACCTCCTGTGGAATGAGAATCTGTGATGTTCATTCCGACGCTGCTTCTTTTCCATCACTCCATATATCACACTCGTTTTCTAATGTTTTTTGTCTATATCTAAACTGTCGTAATGCAATGTTTCAATTTGTGACCCGTTTTGTTTGCTCAGATGCTCAACTCTTGTAATGGCGTGAATATACCTGCAGCTTCGCTGCAACAGTCCATGCTGGTGAGATCAGAATGGTGCACAAAATGTCAATTAGATATGGTTCACATCTGAAACTCTATGTACATCAAACATTGGGGAGATATGTACACGACCTATGGAGACTGACCTGTGTGACAGGTATGCGCGAGATGCTTCTGCCAGGTGCCGTACAAGACCTACCCAGAATCTCTGATGCTTATATTAACTATAGCTCTGGTCGCCAGGGTATCGACGGTGCCTCTAATAGCTCTTTTGGTGGTCGTAAGCATGTCTCACAACCCCTTCGCCTCCTCGCTTCCTTATAGATATATTGGATGACTTTCCGCAGGCTCGAAATATTCTGATTAGAATATCATATCATAAATTTGACCGTATTAGGCAGGTGTGCCGCGATGCCGCTGTTCATTTCCCGTCAATTTGCAAACATGTGTCACCTACCCCCCCCCCCCCCCCCCAATAGATTTTGCAGACTAAAATAAACAACTTCCATCCATTTTCGGTCACTAATGCCAGCAATATCCGCTGACATAATCCGCCTTGCTCGACATGCATTACAACACCTTGCGCAGTGATACCAAGCTACGTTCTCAACCTTTCATCCATTGTGCTAATATCTATCTCCTGGCTCTATTTAGATGACACCCTGTGCTCAGAATGACAAACTTGATTGTCTATGTGCAGTAATGAACTTCCTATCCTCCGGTGCCTCCAATCTTGCTCGATTCATCCTAGCGCCTGTCTCCAACCAATCCTCGCCCTATGTCAACGAAAATTTCCTTACAATGCCTCAATATGGATTTGGCACGTGCTCCTAGTCTGTCTGTTTTGCCTTCACGCGCTCGTTGCACTGTTACCAGCCTGTCCATCCCAGGGTCGTCGAGTTTTTTTTTTTACTATGAATATCCCCACCCCTTGTGGCTGACGGCTCAACAAAGACTTCAGCAGCTAGGATGTGAGCTCTTTCATCATTGTCGAAAAGGTCTGCCTCGTCTTCATTAAGGAGTCTGATGTACTGGACTGCAGGACTGTCCATCTGGACTAAATCTATTGCTTGAGCGTGCGGGGGATTATTCTAGTATAGATTAACATATCTTCGTTATTGGTAATGTTTTTGAGACTCCGAAATATTCTATTCTGGATTATTTTGCCCACGGAAAGTCATCCATTATATTGCTCGGCAAGAGGTACCGAGAAAGACATTGGACCGAGGCGGCTGTGAGGTCAGCCACAGGGTGCTACTTTTAGACCTGTGTGATAGCCTTTCGGCACTCAGCGGTGTACAAGAGTCCGTGACGACAAGTCATTACTCGGCATAGTCGTTAAAGCAGATTATGCCTGTGGACGATTAGAAAGGACGGGTATCTTCATTCGCCTATGGTCTGTCTGGGTTGTGAAAGAGCTGGCTTATTGTACGGTTACATCGCGCACTTGCGTGTTAAATGTTATGTATGTTATCTGAAGACAGGCACCGCAGTATTTGTGGCTGTGTGTTTCGACACAAGTTCCTTCCATCAAGTTTAGCGCCGCTGGTCACTGTACACATGTATACCGAGCATTGTCCCGAGTAATCACTACCACTACCATAAAAACCAACCTGACAATTCCCTCGTTCAAATTCAATCCACTTTTCAAGGTCATGTCATCTCCTAGCAATCACAACGCTCAGTCTAGTGATGCATCGTCTGTGTCCACTTCGGACACATCATCTCTTCGTGAACGAGGAGTCTATGAAGCGTCTGGCGATGACGACTCATCTGTCTTTACTGTAATAGGAGATTTGGACACTACCGTGACCCCTAGCCCTGTGGGTTCTCAAATAGACTTGTCAGGTTCTTCAGAACAAAGCATGTCTGAGGCCCGTCTTCGTCAACTATACGATGAGGAAGAGATCGAACGTTATCTTCGCTTGTTTTCTGCTGTAAGTTCTTGCCGTACTCGATGGGTGGTATATCCTGAGGTCCAATAAGTATGTGACGGAAGTGAGACTACCAGGTGCTTTGCGTAGCATCAAGGCCAAGCCATCAAGTAGCTCTCTCCACCTTCCCCAGTTACCAAAACCACCCCCACTCCCTCCACGACCATTTGCTCGTAATATCTCTGAACAAACAGAGCCGCCTACACTTCTTCCACCCACCATTCCTCCAGGACAAGCGGATCCCTCCTGGTCCGAACAGATTGCCATTGTGAGTGCTACTGTTATCACAGTAATTAAATCTCAGTTCTCCAGAAATATGTATTACCAGCTCTTCCACCCATGCCTCATCCGCCGCCATCCTTCTCTTTAAAGCGCCTGAAACTTACTAGCCAGCGTTTTTTCCTCGCAGTAGTTCCTCCTTACCAGACTTTCTTCCTCTCCATGGCAAATTTAGCGTTATGGAAGGACCCACAACGTAGCGGACTATATTGTGCGGTAAGCAGGCTGTTACTTTTGGAAATCGATATATTCACCAACATCCAGGCGTTCTGGGGACTATGGCTGTATGATCTCCTTCTTCCGGCGATAATGTTTGGAATTTTGTGGGAGATGCTCAGCCGAAGACTTCTCCCGTATCCCACTTTAGAATCTTTACAGATGCGGAGAAAAGATGCCGAACGTGCCAGGGAGTTCGGAGACGAAGTTCAGGAACGCCTATCGGCACCTTCACTGGGACCCAAGGATATATTTCAGTTCCTCAAATCTCATAGATCTACAGCAAAAAGTAAAACCAAGCCCCTTCCCAAGGACACAGGGGTGCTTCAAACGAGTTTAACTGGCGATGGTGGCGAGGATGAAGCGGTTGCTGTTCTCGATGGTGATACCCAAGAAGAGCAAGACATCAAACGAGAACTCCTACACGTTCTCAATACTATCGCTGATATTCACGAACGTATTAAAAAGTACGTACTCCGTGATTCGTGATGGGCCGTCAACTAACCGAATATCCGTCGTCGTTAGCGTTTTCATCTGGAGACGACCAGCAGTCTCCCGAAGATATGCAATCGTGAGTAAGTTCTGTGGATTACTTCGGCATGCGCTTGACTGCTAGAAAGATTTTGGCTGTTGTAACCTGCTGCACCTTGATCATTCCCGCGCATTACCTAGCAAAACTTGTATATGGCAGCTGCGGGTTATTGTTCTGGCATGTCATTCCTGTGTTAGCTGCTCTACCACCAGGCGCTCGAGCCAGGTTCGTGTTCAATGTATATTTGCATCATATTTTGTCAAGTGGCGAAATAGACTGCCCGGTCCATTGGCTGATGCCCCCACCGATGCCGACTATGCCATAGAAATAATTACACAAAGGATTGCCAGGGGCGAGGAAATCAAGCCTCCGCGCAAGCCTCATCCTTCGAGTCCTCGTGCTAATAGCGCAAACGAAGCCGATCTTTCGGCGATCCCGACTTCCGACGCATCATCCAGAAGCCAAATGCAAACTAATGATGGAGTTGATTGGAAGAAGTGGGGATCGCGTATCGCGCACGGCAAGTCACTGCTTAATGAAGGCAAACAACGCCTTTCTTCTGGACAAGTGAATACGGTCGGTCTGACGTCCGCAACTTTACGAGATGAAGACACACATAGTACGCCTATAATAATCCAGGCTGTACTACAACAACTGATCCATTCTCAGCATATCCTGCACACCACACTTCAGCGCCTGGTCTAATCACACTGACCACTACTACAGTATACTTCACAACACTCGCATCACAACAAGCCAAATTAAGTATACCTCGCGGGAACCTCTGCGGCGTGAAGAAAACTGGTTTGATGAAAGGGCTTCTGATTTCCTGGGTTGACGGCGAAGAAGGTCACGGAAAAGAAATAGAAGAGAAGTTCCACTGGGTCGGCAATCGAGATGAGCTTTTCGCGCGCCTTCTTGGCCCAGATGGTGCCCGATGGATGCGAATCTGAAGGCTCGAGAGTCGACGCGTCAGTGGCTGAATTAAAACTCAGAGAGCTCCGCGCAAAGGACCATACCATGAGCGACATACGCTTCCCCCCTCCCTCATAATTTATTCGGTCTCTTTGCCTCCATCCGTTTTTTCGTACGTTTATTGTATGCATTCTGCTCATTGATCTCTTGCTATTACCGTAACCTATTTGCTAACCCAATTTTGTCATTTATCTGCCACCGCTCGCTCATTCTCCAAGGACACTAAACTGCCAAATGTTTTTCTCTACTGAACTGTTGTCCAGGAGGGATAGCGGATTCGGCCTTCTTTGGTATTGTTCTTGTATGCTGCATGGACGCTGGAATCATATCTCATTGCTTGGTGTTACAAATATCAGGCTAGCCGCAACCCTTGGCTCGAAATCAGCCTTTAAGAAATTACCCAAGCGCTCCGTGTTGACGGCAGATATCTCTCAATTGTGTGATCTGATCGCTTCTCCTGCGGAGCCTCTGGCTCTTCGCCTCTCCAGTAACTTGATGGTCGGGGCTGCACGGTAGGCAGATCAACTTCGTCGGGCCCTTGATACTCACTCAGTTCCACAGTGTATATAAAGGTTTTGTAATTCATGGCTGTATAACCACATCTTACTTTGCTTCTAGTCAAGCAAGAACTTTTTCTTTCCGATGTCACGAGTTGCTTCAACTCCCTCAAGCGAGTCGTGCAAGAGTTCCGTTCGATGGCTGCGTCAGAAGCCCATCTTCAGATGGCTCAGCCGAGCGTGAGGTGAGTTAGCTCACACGATGAAAGCCTCCTCTGACACCTCCTGTCAAGGCCATCAGCTGTTACCCTTGCTGCTGATCCTGGTACTGCATTTGCCATGGATTTTGACGCAATGGTCGCTGTACGTTCTGTCTTTCTTTCTGTTTGTATCTAAGCCAACGATGCGGCTAGGACTGGGACGAATACTTGAACATTGGAAGTACGTTAGATTACTGTGCGTCAACTCGCGTATATTCATTCTCAATTGCAGACAACAAGGGAGGAGCGGAAGAGGGCTCATCCGATGATGAGTACAATCCAAAAGCCAAGAGACCAAAAGGAAAGGGTAAGCAGTCTACAGTTGCACCGGCCTCCACCGCGGAAAACGCCCGCGCCGATGCGCATACACTCAATGAAAATCACGACCTCTTCCTCGCCAATTCTTTCGACGCCTCATTTGGTGGCAGCGGCGCCAATATGATTCCATCTTCTCAGAATGATACCTTCGGCTTCGACGATAGCTTCTTCGGCGCTTTTGATGGCCTGGATATTGGTGAGGGCGTTGGCGATGACCTCGTAAGGGAACTTGGTGAAGGCTGGGGAGGAACTGCCCCGGAGAATCAAGTCGAGTGTGTGTCCCTTTCGGTAGGCTGAAGTTTGACTGAAATGCCCTAGCCATGATATGCAAGTGGATGAACCGATCGACTTCGGGTTCAATGATGCAGATAACCTGTATTTCGAGCACGATGTCCCCATTGACGATGCCGGTGCATTAGAGCGGAATGCCTTGCCGCTTCCTCCATCGGCCTTTGCTACGCCTCAAGGCACACAACGGGGCTCAGCGGGTACGACAAATTACTCCACATTGACCACCTTAACTTATGAAAATTTAAAGCTGCCCTTCCTCCCTCTTCCTCTCTTACCGGACACTCTCTCGAATCTCCCTCTGGTCCTTTGGCTGTAATTGCCCCGCAGGTCGAAGAGATTGAGCCCGTTGCACCTGACGATCATCCGGCTGAACCCGTACCACCTAGGAAGATCAAGCGCGCTAGACTTCTTTTAGATGTGCGAACGGAGTTGACGGATGACGAATTAAAGGTGCGTAGTAACGCCGCTCGTGACCTGCAGCTACAGCTTGTATTTCTGTATAGGCTGCACGCCTGCATTATCTGGAAGAACAGAATGGTATCCATCGACAACTTGCGCGGAAGAATTTTGAGAAGGATCAAGGCAGGCTCGTTGACGGTTTGCTTTGGGCTATTCCGGAACACAGTAAGTTTCGATTTTGTACTTGCGCTCATCATGAGCTTACATTTTGAAGTGCAAGCCAAAGAGTTGGTAGACTTCTGGCTAGATCATTTCAAAGCACAATTGGACGCTCGATCTGTGTTCATGATTGGACCCCGTGGTCAGTCTTACAGCACCTTGAGTGTGCCTTATTAAATATACGCGATCTTTAGACGAGTCCCCTCCGCCAAAACGGAGGAAGACCAAGACCAATGCTGAAATCCCCGGTGAAGTTGAGCATGTCCAAGTCCGCCCTGAAAGTCCTGCATTCGGTGTAGGCCGGGCAAGCCCAGATTTCAATGCGGGTGGAGCGGATATTGACATGAATTTTGACATGAATTTCGACATGGACAGTAAGTTGTATTGACTACCATGAATGGCTATCACCCAATGTCCTTTTCAGATGGCTGGGGTGGCGCAGACGACGCGGGACCGGAACTGAACAATCTTCGCTCGTCCGAGGTAAATTAGCTGGCAACGCTTTTCATACTCTCCTTGACAAAGTTTTAGGAACCGGGACAAGCACGTCATGCCCCACGCCCAATGTCCGTGCTGGGCGACGAATTCGGCTTGGATATCGTGCAGGGCTCCTTATCGCAGCGTAGTGCACTCTTCCCTTGGGACAATGCGGGTGGAAGCTCGTCTATATCTGGTGCAGTACTCCTTGGTCGCCAGAGCAGTGACAAAATCAGTGTTGACCACGCCGAGACTCGCCTGAGGGGCAGCTCACTGAGCCGACGAGGAAGCTCTATTCCAAGTCAGCAAGGCGACGTATTTGGTGGTGCCGGAGGTTTCCCTGCGAGCCCCCAAATAATTGATGACGATTTTGTATTCAACGGTACGTCGATGCAACTGTCGGACTTGCCAGGCGATCTAGCTCATGGAATCGACAAGTCCCGGCAGGCAATTCTGTGGCTGAATCCCAATTGTCCGAGGTCAATCCGGCCACCCTGGAGAGAACCTCCTTCAACTTCCTTGAGTAAACATTTTCACTATCTACCATTTAACTTTGGTGTATTCACATATTGTGCTGAAAGATACGCCAAGATGCAATATAGATCACTGTCTGGGTCAGCTCGATTTCTCGCTTTTGACGATGTCGTGCCGCGGACCACCAGCACCGCACACGTCGCAGCAGCAGCTCTCTACCACTGTCTTGGTGTGTCTGTTCTTTCCCTTTCAAGCGGCACCATGCCGGACCGTATCCGAGTATGAACTGACGCCGATTTGACCAGTGTTAGGCACGAAGGACCTCATCCAACTTCGTCAAGAAGAGGCATATAGAACCATTGAGATCCGTATCAAGTGATACGTTGGCACTCATTCGCTCCCTTGTCGGCCGAAACGTTTCAATCGATTACATTAGATTATTAGTATTATGGGTCCATAGACGTCGATTCTTTCTATAGTGTTATGCTTGTACTTATATAGACTAGCCGCAACAGTGGTCGTGACTGTTGAGCGCCCTGAACGTTCAGACAGAAGTAGAGCTGATCACGGTGAAATTGACGGTCCAGCACAGGCTTACCCAAGCGAGCACCGCCACCACGGCACGTGAACCGCGACGTCGAAAAAGACGCGACCCCAGACAGCAACATTTCGAACCGCAGATAGGCTCGGAAAACGCGTGGGAGGGCACCGTACGGGCTATGGACGCCATAGGCAGCGAAAATCGACGTTTTTGAGCTGCGAGAGAGCTCTGGATGGCTGCTGGATGGGGTGGAGGGTCCTGGGTGAGCACAATGCAAACCACCTGTGGGAGAATGCCGAGACGCTAACCGAGAGACTGCAAATTTCGCACATTAGGACCGTCAATTTTTCGTTTACACCCAGCTTCGGTCTTGGTGGCGATGCGTCCTTCCCTCCCGCCAAAAAAACGCACTGCATGCTGATGTGCTGCAGATTGACGGTCCTCGGATTTACAGTCCCGGCTGGCTGCTATACCATACATGGTACTGCCACCGCTTATGTATGCACACATACGCTACTAGTACTAGTGAGTACCTCCTCTTCTCGTTCGACTCCCGTCTCCTCCACGCATAGCGGCTGTGCTTGTCAGCCTACTGATCTCAAATTATACTTCCAGCGTCCTCATCGTCATGGGCATCAACGACCTGTGGGAGGCACATTCCCACTGTTCACTCGGCAGGTGCTGAAACTCACCCCATCATTTGTCAGGTGCTCGAGCCTGCCGCAACGACGGTGCCCCTCATCTCTCTCGCCATCCGGGGCTGATATGAGGGACCTGCCCCTCACTCGCCTTATATTGTAGGCGTGGATGCAAGGTTTGTGTTCGCTCGCTGTGTTCGATGGCAAACATTCTCACATTCTCATTTCTTGATTCTAGTGCGTGGTTCGAACAATGCCAGCAGGGCAGGTGGCACCGTGCACATGCTCAGACAGGCCAGAATCCCGCCCTTCGAACATTTTTGAAATCAAATGGGGCCACAGAGTGTCTACCAATGACCATTGGATGGTCAAGCCCACCCAGCGCCTACTCAATGCATTCAACGTGCAGTGGATCATGGTGAGTTTTTTCTTTTTTTTTCGTTGTCATCTATATCAATCCTGGCTATCCAGACTGCCAGAGAAGCTGAGACACAGCTGGCACTGATGAATGGTGCCGGTATTATTGATGCTGTCATGACAGATGACAGTGACTCATTTGTTTTTGGTGCTCAGACTGTCCTGCGCAAGTAAGATCTCTCATGTTCTCTTTCGCATGCCCTGCTGACTCTTTTTAAGCTCGACATTTTCAATAGATTCAACTGTCAACTTGTATACAACGAGTGCCATTCAAGAGCACTCAGGAGCACGTTTCTTTATCATATCCCCCTGGACTCGTCACTTACTACATATCCCATCCATGCAGCGGCACACCATCAAATTTGCACTGTCTACCACTATATCCCTACCTAGCTGTTTCTACAGGTAACTTCAATCTCGCTCGGGCATTTGTCCAATAGTTTATGATTATAAACCATACATTCTCTTCTAATCTATCACTGTACACACAAGTATGCACTACATAATCTAATTGTCTTGTCTCCAACCCATGAACAGAGCGCTCAAGAGCTTCTCCAGCGCACCTGTAACCATTAACAGAGCACATCGGTACCTGGTGCAGGGATTTGGTGAGTCTCGGGGGCCGGACAGAGATGGCACATACCTATAATCATGAACGGAGCGCTCATGAGCTTCTCCAGCGCACCTGTAACCATTAACAGAGCATGTTGGTACCTGGTGCAGGGATTTGGTGAGTCTCGAGGGCTGGACAGAGACGGCACGTACCTATAATCATGAACGGAGCGCTCATGAGCTTCTCCAGCGCACCTGTAACTATGAACGGAGCATGTTGGTACCTGGTGCAGGGATTTGGTGAGTCTCGAGGGCCAGGCAAAGATGGCACATACCTATCACCATCAATGGAGCACTCATGAGCTTCTCCAGCACACCTGAACCTGGCAGCACATTTAGGAACCTATGAATAGGAACCAGGAGATCCGTGGCCTCGACATAGCGCGCTGCATACCTGAATGCACAATCAGACGATGAAGAAAAGGTGAGCATACCTTCGAGAACTTCATACTAACAACACTCACCTCACTGATATACACCACCAGCGAGACCCATCGTCTGGCCAACGGGTCTTGGATGCCGATTGTGCTGATTGTCGGTGGTCCAGGTCCAGGTGGAGCGCGATTGGCAATCGAGCCAAGGAAGGAAGCGAGCGCTGTGGCTGAGTCATCGTCACGTGACAAGTTTGCAGTCTCAAGCGAGGACTGCAAACGCCACCGGTGGGACCGTCAATTTTTCACACGAAGAGATCTGTCATAGGACGACCAATAACCGGCTCTTGTATTTTCCGTTCCGAAACAATGATCAGACCATCCAGCAAAAATCTTGATGGTGCCATTTTTCACCCGAATACCTCTCCGAAGCGAAGCACACGGTAATAACGTGAAAGGCTCATCGCTTCACGCACTTATTATTTGCTTGTAAACTTTGGTATGAATATACTACGTGCTAGCCTCCCCTCCTCGTCTCATTTTACTCGCACTCTTAGATCACATTTTGCTCAACGTACCATGTCCTCGCCAGCAGTTCTTGCCGCACGCGCTGCTCTTGCCAGCATAGATCTCACCAGTTATGACCCTGAACAATCGAGACTGATGGATGAGAAATGCATCTTGGTCGACGAGCAGGACAACGCCATCGGCGCGATGGATAAGAAGACTTGTGAGTCTATTTGTTCTATATTATACGGGGTTTTGATAGCAGACTTCAATAGGCCATCTCATGGAAAATATCGACAAGGGTTTACTGCATCGAGCCTTCTCTGCGTTTGTCTTCCGTCCCTCCGATGGCAAGCTTCTCCTACAGCAGCGTGCTTCGGAGAAGATTACCTTTCCCGACATGTGGACGAACACGTGTTGTTCGCACCCACTAGATGATTTCGAAGAAGAAAAGATCGAGGAGAATCAGCTCGGAGTGCGGATCGCAGCTTCGAGAAAACTGGAGCATGAGCTTGGTATTCCGCAAAGCCAAACACCAATCGACGAGTTCCAGTACTTGACGAAGATTCATTACCTCGCACCGTCGAACGGTATGTGGGGTGAGCATGAAGGTGCGTTGACAGGTTGAAAATACAGGTGCATGTCCTTACGTGCCTCTCATAGTCGACTACATCTTGTTTATGACGGCGGATGTTACGGTGACGCCAAATAAGAACGAGATCCGGGACTACAAATATGTGGACAAGGCTGAGCTACAGGCGATGTTCAATGACTCATGTGCGTATGTTGCTTGCGATATGTTGGATGCGAGCTTACTGGGCACGCGCAGCAAATTCTTTTACACCTTGGTTCAAGCTGATTGCTCGTGACTTTTTGTTTGAGTGGTGGGATACTCTTGTAGAGCGGCAGGGCTTTGATGGTCGTGTCTACGCAAAGACTTTAACAGGCGTCGCTGACGGTTCGAAGGTTGTCAAGATGTGATACATGTTACACTCATGTCTGTAGATTAGTAGTGCAAATGCAATTCTGTATTCAATAATAGATTCTGATTCACAAATTCTAATCCGACTAGACGCAATTCAACAAATTTATTCAAGTTCTGTTTGCCCAGCACCATACACAGTCAAGAGACTATGAAGTAGTTACTGAGCAAAGAGAGACAAGAAAAAAGAAACCCCCGACGACGCAGGCCAGTAGTGCAGTAGCAAGGTCATCATGTCCTCCGAGTTGCAAGCAGAGCTCGAAGGAACAAGGGCGGCAAAAATTTGATAACCAAAGAATGAGGGCGGTGCCCTCATAATAGTGGTTAAACTATTAAGAACAGATACTACACTTGATCTAAGCCAAAAGGCCAGAGTGGTAAGGATCCAGTTCGTTCACAGCTCCCTTTTATATCTTCTGAATCAGCGCACGGACCATTACCATAACCGGTCGTAGTGCCACAGGGCAGAAATTACATCCGAAAGGTAATCCAGAGTGCTCTGGAACGCTCTAGGCTAGGTCTGATCTAGCCAGGTCCTCGATCGAACGCGTGGACGAGGCGAACGCGATAAGCAGCGGAGTTTAAGTGGACACATTCCTGTAGATGAATAGCCTTGTATTACACACGTAGAAGTAATAGTAACAGGATACACCGTCTGCATAACGGTACAATTTATATCCTTCCTGTGCTACAGCAGAATTAGAACTATAAATACATACGGTAGTCGTACATCATGAGCATGTCGTTTCCAGTATCGTTACACCCCGTCGTTGGGGTAGGCAGTAGGTGGACGCTGTCACAGGTGAACTGCGTCGTTCCTCGGCGCGTTCCACCTCTTAGTGATCAATATTCTGACCAGCACGTGAACCCGCACGAGAATTGGCACGCGAACGCATTCTCGTCCCACGAAATATCCATATCTCCTTCTTATTCCCAAACCCAAGCATCCCTGTACGCGCAAGGGGAACCGTGGCTTCAAGCTTGTAGCCCATAGTACTGATTTCCTTGAGTGCAGACGCTGCAAACACGTCTTTGCTTAAATCAGGGGCTGCCACGAGAGCACATCAGCAAGGGAAATTGCATGTGCAGAGAAAACAAACCGCCAATCGCATTCCTCTTGAGCTCAATTGTGTAGATCTCGTCTTCACTTGTTCGATCTCCAGCAATTTTAAATGGCCATGCAGCCCGAAGACGGGGACCAATCTGCTCCCCGACACGGCGCGGCGGACGGACAAGCGTCATCCTGTGTCCTGAGCGCGATATATGCGCAGCAAAGAAATCACAGTGTTCATCGGGACCGCTATCTTGAAATATCAACTGAGGATACTAAATACACCGTTAATGATGCTTGTACGACCCTTGGGTTAATTAAAGACATACGGAATAGCCCGTACTGAGAGAGGTACGGTACTGATAGCCGTTATGTGCGAGGCAAGTAAATAGTTCGCATATCATTTTTTGTGCGCTGCATCAGATCAGCACGTGATACAGGATCAGTGATTGGATGATTGGACCTACATGACGCCCTCGCCCCCGCTCGCACTCCAAGGATTCCTGTTAAAGAGAATCCGAAACGCGTGATGAACAGGGATTGCTGTGGATATCCCGTGTGGCCACATAGGAATAATGTTCTCCTTTATCTCTTCCATCGTATCTTGGAAAGCGACATTGCCCATACGGAGCTCGTTTGTGCCGTGAAAAGAGACAAACAGATGTTCTGTGATGACGTATGGCGTGGGAGGAGTGATAATCATAGGTCAACTAGTAACTTACCTGGAAGATAGGACGGGTTAGAACTCATGCCATTAGCGCGTGTCATGGGCACGAGGCGCTGGCGTGCACTGGAAGTCGTCCGAGTACGCTCGAGAGTGGGTGGGGCGGCACCAACGGTCTCTGAGCGGCGAAGACCACCGTTCTTCTTCATCGCGGACTTGAGCTGGGCCTTCTCTGGATTATATGAGGGCTTTTGACGGGTTGTACTAGCGCGCTTGACTCGTGGCGGGGGGGCTGGCTCAGAATTTGGCGGGATGAATGGCGTGTTAGGGTCCAGGTGGCCTTGTGAATATTGAGTGGCTTGATAATTTTCGCGAGGCCATGGTGGAGAACTGTACGGATCAGATGTAGGAAAAGGTTGTTGTCGCTGCTGTTGATGCTGATAGCCAGGAGGGTAATATGTATGGTATGGCTGACCATAGTAAGGGAAGTTAGGCTGCGGGTAAGCTGAATGCATTGGTGGTCAGGGAAAGAGATAGGAAAGATGGCCGTACACTAGTTAGTCGATATCATAAAATGGCCTCGTGTTAGCTGAAGACAGCAGACATGAGGATTCCCATTCTAGGCCGCGGAGAATTCTTTGGGCGTTACTCGCATAAGGTTCATGACATCGGTCCGCTCTCGGCCCCATTGATCACGTGAGTGTTTTTATATCCCTTGCTTCCAACTCACTCGGAAGTTCTCTTCACAAACGCCCAAGTCACATCAGGGCAGCGATGGCATCAACATTCTTTACATGGGTCAGATCTCCTGCTGCTCGCGAGTACTTCTTCAGTATGTTTCTCATCAATTATCATTTGCTTGAAACATGTTTCATCATATTCTTCACAGGTACACACTTCTGGGGACCAGTCAGTCATTTCAACTTTTACGAGTTACATAACTCACTCATTCCAGGTCGCAAACTGGGGTCTTCCCCTTGCTGCCCTCGCTGACCTTAGCAAAGATGAAGAGGTCATCTCAGGTACTATGACCACTGCACTTGCTACCTATTCGTACGTCCCATTTCACTCTCACGCAGCTGCATGCTGAACCCACGCAACTAGAATGGTCTTCATGCGCTTCGGTGCGTTCTGTGACGAGGTTATAAAGCGCATGTCTGACCTTCCGTTATAGCCTGGAGAGTACAACCCCGGAATTACCTGCTCTTTGCCTGTCACTTGACAAATGCGACAGCACAGTCAATCCAGGAAGCCCGCTTCGTGAACTACTGGTATTACGGTGGCCGTGAGAAGAAGTTTGGTCTTGACAAGGGTCCAGTCACACAAGCCATCGAGGAATCACAAGCAGAGGCAAAGAAGGTTGCAGACACAAAATAATAATATCCCTCTATGCAACGCTGGCATACGCTGCGCCTTTGACTAACCAATGTCTGAAGTGAGCATCTAGATACTGATACGTAATTTTCACCAAAATCCGTCATCCCCATCACCTTTGCTTTTCTTCCCACCCTTGCTCTGTGAAAGCACCTGTCGTTCATACATCTCAGAGATCTGAATAATCATAAGTACCCGCCAACTTACTGAATCTCAACATGCAGCGAAACACTCACTTGCTCGGGTCCAGTAGCATCATCCGCCGATTTGTCATCCCGTATTCGGATGAATCTCGGAAACCGCAACGAGATCCCGCGTTCCTCTACCAAGCCCTGTGCCGCTGTGTATACCGGGCTCAAACTCAAATCTGCCGCAAGCACCTCCCACACGATCTTTGGCTCAAACCACACATCAGGCTTCGCTCCACCAGGTTTGATGTCCCCACGTGGTTTTGTGATCTCAAGCGGTCGCAGTGTGTCCCAGTGCGTCTGCAGCATCTCTTCGCTGAACCCGGTGCCGATCTTGCAGATCGTCTGATACTCTTCAGCATCGGCGTCGAAGCAGGCTAGGAGGAAAGCTCCGTAAACTTTCGTACGCTTGCCTTTGCCGTAGTATCCCCCAACGACGACGAGGTCCAGAGAATCACCAACGCCAGCGAGGTAGTCTTTCTTGAGCTGTATATGATTGATCAATATCAGTCGGATTTCGACGGAGCAAAAGCACCTTGAGCCAGTTGACGCTCCGCCGACTGGGTTCATAGTAACTTGCGTCTGACTCAAGCATCTTGACCATAAGTCCTTCGCAGCCGTCCTTCACACTCTCTTCGAGGAATGCCTGGATCTCATCTGTTGTCGATCCGTCTGAAGACTTGGCAAAATCGAACTCTCCAGGCACGATCTGGAAGTGCTCCCTCAACAATTCTCGACGTTCGCTGAGTGATTTTTGGAGAAGTGGCTACTCGCACGTCGATCAGCGCAACACCCTAATATCGTTGAGGATGGGTAACAAACCTCGCCATTGAGATAAATAAGGTCGAATGCGAAAAGGCAGACTTTGACCTGGATGTCTTCGACTTTTACGTCCTTGCGCTTTCGCTTGCTCAGCTCTTGGAAGGGCATGAGCTTGCCTGAGGTCTTGTCAATCGCAACGGCCTCGGCATCAAGCACGAATGACTTTGTCTTCTCCATGATGCACTGTCTTTCCATCAGCCCAATTTGCACAGGCAAGTCTATATAGATCATCACCTACCCTCGGCAGCTGCTCCACTAAATCTGGGTACTTGGCCTTCATATCCTCTGAATTTCTACTAAAGACGCTGACGCTGCCATCCTCCAGCATGTGTACCTGGGCGCGTTCCCCATCGTACTTGTACTCACACGTAAATCGCCGCCCCTCGAAACGGTCCAGTACTTCGCCGATCGCTTTTGTTGGCTTGGCGAGCATTGGCTTGAGTGGAACCCCGGGCGTAAGCTTGCAATGAGTGCGCAAGCCCGATAGACCATGCGTGAGCAGCGCGGGGATCACAAGTTCGTACGTAGGGAGCTCGCTGGAAGATGTGTCAATGAACGTAGATGGGCGAGGCGAGGGGGTCCGACCTGTACACAGATTTCATGATACTAGCACCCTCTTCGAGGCGAGATGCCAGTTTCTCTTTGCTCCATCGCTTTCCGGCTTGTAGACGATGAATCAGCTTCATTAGCGAAGTTTGAAAAATACACACCATGTTCTTTAGCCAGAACAGCAGCATGTGCGAGAGCCACGAGAACCGTACGTTCAGCATTACCGATCCGGAGCTTGCCTTCCAGGCTGCGCACAATGTACTTCGCCTCGAAGTCCTGGCATGCGGCGAGAAGCTTTGTAATGATCGATACCTTCTTTGCCTGGGACTGTATCAGGGGGAGAATGGTGCT